CATGGATAATAAATGATTATCATGAACAAGGAAATATAATAATAACCAGTTTATTATTGCCTCTAGGGCATATTTCCAACAGTGATCCCGTTGATCAAATAACAACTCATGTCTATGGCTAGGAAACTTAACCATCTTTGATCAATGAGCTAGTCAAGTAGAGGCATACTAGTGACACTATGTTTGTCTATGTATTCACACATGTATTATGTTTCCGGTTAATACAATTCTAGCATCAATAATAAACATTTATCATGAAATAAGGAAATAAATAATAACTTTATTATTGCCTCTAGGGTATATTTCCTTCAATAAAATGGGTTTATGTTGTGGATGGAGATGGCGATGACGTGGGTGAAGATGATCTCCACGATGCCTTGAGTGTTGGTGATGATGATGGCTTCAAACTCCCTCAGCCGAAGGAGGTAGATCCTTGGCTGAGTCAACCCACTAGGAGAGAAGGTGTTCTCAGTTTTGATGCGGTGATTGAAAAAATGTGATTAATCTAGGATAGGATTTTTAGGCCGGTATACACACTAGGGGCATGGAGCGGTGGATATATTGATATTGATTTGGTATTTGTTTATCTTTATGATATTGTATATATGTTTGATCAAACTTAGAAGGCATTGACTAACTTAGTTCATACGTCGTCTATTTGGCGACGAGGTAGTAAGTGTTTATGGTGCTAGTGACGAGTATTGTGAAAGCCAAAGTTTAAACAATTTTTTAAAATTTATACCGAACGAAAGGAACATTTGGAAACTGCTTGTTCTCCATGTTGTCGGATCCCAAGGCGTTGACCCTAGGTGATGGACCGTCGGCTATCGGTGCACGAGGATGGTTGTGGTGGTTGTTGATGCTAGTGGTTAGGCCGACAGAGTCTGGCCTTCTCCATGGCGAGGTGATAGGCGTCGACGGTGGTTTTGGTGGGCCAGACGTCCAAGAGAGTGCGGGATGAAACCAGGTGAACACCGACGATGGTGATGCTTGCGAGGGCCATTACCTTTATGAAGGTGTCAAAGATGTGGTTTCCCTCTCGTAATCCATATTGCTCCTGGGGAAACCATAGGTCTGGGTGCCCTCGGACCGGACAATAACGTCATATGTGGTGTGCTACCCTCTTGGGGGCATCGTTTTGGAGTTGGTGTTAGTTGGTGGGACATGTGGTTTTGGTGAGGCGTGCATTGTAACCGGCCTCTCTAGGGCCCTCACTTAGATGGCTGAGTGGCAACTGTTTCGGGTGATCCATTACGACGGTGTGTCATTGCACAGGTAGTGTGCAACGCCAGTGACAATGATGCCGACCGGTGGTGTGGTTGGCCAGGACATAGATCCGGAGGGAGTGGCGGTAGGTCGCGATCATGGCGCGTAGTGACGTCTCCGAGGGCATGTTTGGTTCATGACTAACTTTGCCACAACTAACCTTAGGCCAAGTGTGGCTGGCACAAAAAGTATGGCTAACAAAATGGCCATCACAAGTGTGGCAAGATTTAGCAAAAAATTGAGGCTATAACATGTGGACCATGTCGCTAGAAAAGTGTGACAAGCCACAAATGTGGCAATGAACTAAACACATGCCTAATATGTTGTGGCATGACTAAGGTTAGGCGTAGCAACCTTAGGCTGGAAAACAAACAGGCCCGTAGTGTTTTGTCTGGGGGCGGTGGCCATGCCCAGATTTACTTTCGACAATCACTTGCGACTGAGAGGTGGGATCACCGGAGCGCCTCCAATGTGAAATTTTGGCGGTACTGTCTCTTTTAGCCAGTTTGTGCTGCGACTCGACTTGCACGCCTAGCTCCGTGGGTGCCTCGTGATGTATGGGTTGCATGCCTAGTGTGTGCACAGTCTTTGGTTTGTGTGGTTATGACGTCTGAATCATGTGTGCTTGCATTATCTTCATTGGCCTCGACATGTATTATTGTTGCTGTTTTTTTAATCTTTTTTTTCAAAAGAAGGATTATCTCTGGCCTCTGCATCAAGGAATCAAGCAATGCACACAACTAGTCATAGATTCGGCCTTATGTGACTATGCTCTTTGCAGTGTATTTCTTTGTGTGTATGTGTTCATTTTGATTGTGTGCATCTTTTAATTGTGTAGAGTCTGGGTGTTTAGTCATTGTATCTTTCATATCTGCTGATGCTTTGACTATGAGCATCATGTGTAGAAAAAGAACCGTGCTCGGCCTCACTGTCATTCATTCTTCTGTTCGTTCCCATGTCACCTACTTCCTTTATTCGGAATTACTTGTCTTGAAAATGGATGTATCTAGAACTAAAATACATCTAGATACATCCATTTCTGTGACAAGTAATTCCGAACGGAGGGAGTACTTTCTGGTGGTTTAGCGCCGTAGTATTATTTTTCTATACGCGACCTGATTCAAGTCAAATTCAGTTAGCCGCACATTACGCAAGACCGCGACATTCTCCATGTCCCGATCCCGACAGTCGAGGTCCCGTTTCTAGATTCAGTGTAGTGTCGGTGCAGCAACAGGCAACAAAGGTGCCCCTCCCTTGGCACCAGCACGCACGGGCCAGAGACAAATTACAGCGGACGCAACATGCGACCGTCCACGACAGGGACAGACAGCAGAGAGAACTGTAGCAACATTCTGAATCGAGTAACGATGGAAAAGTTCACAAGATCACTGCTTTGATGAATTACGTTTGCTTCTGTCTTCCAGACTTCCAGGCTGCCGGTCTGCCACCAAGTCTTGAGTCATGGTCACGCTTGTACATCTACTCTGAATCCTGATGAACCAACCAAAGCCCCCTTCAACGGACGAAGCGATCAGTAAATCAATATTCAGGTTGCAGTTACACATTTGATCCACATCCTGTCCTACCACACCTCACACACGTGAGCTCCTTTTTTGTTTTTCATTTGAGAGAGAGAAACACACGTGGGCTCCTGCTTCACGAAGATTCCCATCTGCTTCTGGGCCCAAAGCGACAGAGACAGAAAAACAAAAGCCACGTATCGCTTCAGCGTATACGCACTCGCACGGGGCTTCACCACCTCTTTTTAGTCCCACCTCGCCTAGCGAGGGAGCGAACGACCAGCTTAAATAGCGTCCTCCTCCGCACCTACTCGCCGAGCTCGATAGCATGAGCTTGTAACCCGAGCGGGGGGGGCAATGAGGTGGTGTGGACCGTTGCCGTGGCGCTGCGGGCCTAGTCGGGTTGTGCTATTGCTGGCCCGCCCCGTTCCAAGTTGAGTAGCGGACCGTTGTGGCCTTGCGAAAGCTGGGCTTCCCGGGCCATGATGTGGCAGTTACTCTGCGCG